CCTACAAAAATATTGAGTTGTTTTTTTCAATAGCCTTTATAATTCAAATACTGGGTGTCCCAAGTTATCGTTTACAGGCAATATCTCGCCTGTTTGTCAAGATATCAAAAGCATTAAAAAACTGCATTAAATGGCATTAAATAACCTTCCTAATGGCTTATGGAGAATGTGATATATTTGGCAGCCCCCGGATGGTAAATACTGATCAGTTTTTATTTTCTAGTAGCATATTGTCTCTGAAAATTGCGTGTCAATCTATTTGGAATACAACGATATAGCACATACTTGGTGTTTTGTTCTTGATAACAACAAAAACATGAACATTTTGTGACTTTTTTACGTTACTCTAATGACAAATTGCTTTCACCCATATGTTCAAGAAGTTCACAAATAAGAAGTATGGATTGCATTTTTGTTTCAAAATATTAATGACAGATATTCCATTTTGAACTGCAGAACATCAATCATTGCAGACGGTATATACCTACCTAGTGTAATAATTAATCTAATTTCATTGTGGGACATTTTTACGAACATGGGAGGAGGCAATTTTCAATCGATGTAACGTAAATGAGGTCAAAAAATTGTATTGTCAATGTTGTTATTAATGAACAAAATACAAAGTACCGATGTGCTATCGTTCATTCCCGAAATAGGATGATTGGCAATTTTCAATGACAATATACAGGGAGTCCATTAAATGAAAATTGAGGAGTTGCTACCAGGTGGCTGTCCAATCTAATACACTTTTTTTTTAGTCATAAAGAAAGTTCTCTGATGTCATTTGAAGCATTTTTACTATTTTTTGTTCATCTTGTCGAGTAAGCAAGTTTTTGCCGGTACCTTCACGATAACTCGGGACACCCAGTATTAATATGAAATGGGAGTCATTAATCTATGATAATAATAATTGTATACAGAGACTGTGTTCAACGAGTCATATTATTATCTCTCCGCCATTATGGAAGATTTTTTCAAATTTTGCAGTGAATTAATGATAATTAATTATCTGATCTGACGAAAAAGACAAAAATGTTCCAATTCAGGTGGGATCGAGAATCAAATATCTACCTCCAATTCGTGGGTAGATATCGGACGACCTTTTTTTTTTAAAGAATACCCGGCCGCAACTCCTCGGAGATTTTTTCAAATGATAAAGTTTACTTGATCAATGTCTTGCTATAGAATGATATATAATTAAAGCTCATCTGATACAGGGAGTCCATTAAATGAAAATTGAGGAGTTGCTACCAGGTGGCTGTCCAATCTAATACACTTTTTTTTGAGTCATAAAGAAAGTTCTCTGATGTCATTTGAAGCATTTTTACTATTTTTTGTTCATCTTGTCGAGTAAGCAAGTTTTTGCCGGTACCTTTACGATAACTCGGGACACCCAGTATTAACATGAAATGGGAGTCATTAATCTATGATAATAATAATTGTATACTAGATACTAGATTTTCTTACTGTCTCAGAGAATGTGTTCAACAAGTCATATTATTATCTCTCCGCCATTATGGAAGATTTTTTCAAATTTTGCAGTGAATTAATGATAATTAATTATATCTGCTCTGACGAAAAAGACAAAAATGTTCCAATTCAGGTGGGATCGAGAATCAAATATCTACCTCCAATTCGTGGGTAGATATCGGACGACCTTTTTTTTTAAAGAATACCCGGCCGCAACTCCTCGGAGATTTTTTCAAATGATAAAATTTACTTGATCAATGTCTTGCTATAGAATGATATATAATTAAAGCTCATTACGTCGTTGATCTAACTCTAAGTTTGGTTACTCAATCTTTTTCGCTGAAACAAATATCCAGTAAATTTAACTCCACCCCAAACTATATAGCTGGCGCTAGTTAGACTTCGCCGACAGGAGACTGCTGATAACCAATGACTTCTCAAAAATTGAACACCTTACCATATTAGTGGCGATCATATGGCGATTGATGCAAATATCGCTCTCAAAGGCCTCGTTATAAGGTGATGTGCACGGATTCTTGAACAATTCATAGTTGCGAGCACTTGAAGAGTTCGCTATTAGTAATTGATGCGAATTTCCCAAAGTTCTCTTCACAAGGCGATGCGTGCGAAAATCTCAAACAGCTCGTGGTCGCGAGCACTTAAAGACCTCTCCAGAAGCAATTGATGCGAATCTCCCAAATGTCCTCGTCACAAAGCAATGTATGCGAATTTCTCAAACAGCTCATGATTGCGAGCACTTTCAGTTATCGCCAGTGGCGATGGAAGCGTATATCTCAAAGTGCGCGCCTTAGGGCATTGTATGAGAATTTCTGCGTGCGATATCTTCAAGACCTCGCTGAGCTCAGCCTAGGTGGCGGACATTTGGCCTAGATATAGTACTCTCGGCGATCTCTCAAAGAAGTTACAAAAGGCATCACAATTTCCTAAAAGGATTTCTTCAAGATATTTTTAGGACCTCTTTGTGCTGGCTGGGATGTATCTTCAATACACATTTCAAACTCATAAATACCATATGGTATTTTAGTAATGGATTCCGATTAGTGGCTGATTATGAATGTATCTGCAAAACAGAGTTCATACTCGTAGATATAATATGAACTCTATTTGAATGTATCTTCAATACACACTTCGAACTTATAAATGCCACGGTATTCTAATAGAAAATCCCGATTAGGGACCCATTATGATCATTGTACCTGCAACACAGAGTTTATAGTCATACACTTCGGAAGAAATTGCTAGACTCCGGAAGAAAGTGTTATAAGTTACTGAATATGAATGTATCTGGAAAGCACAGTTTATACTCATAGAGTACATGAAGAACTGCCAATAAAAACTCATTATGAATGTTCCTGTAAAGCACATTTCAAAATGATGAATGTCACGGTAATTCAATGAGGAATTCCAATTAGGAACTGATGATAAGTGTATATCTGCAAAACAGAGTTATACTCTGATTTTTCCTGAGGGATTGCTATTAGGTATTGATTATGAATGTACACGCAGGATACATTTCAAACTCATAAATGCCACTGTGCTCTGATTTTTCCTGAGGGATTGCTATTAGGTATTGATTATGAATGTATACCCGCAGGATACATTTCAAACTCATAAATGCCACTGTGCTCCAATAAGGAATTCCGATTAGGAGTGAGGAATTGCTATTAGGAATTTATTATGAATGTACCTGCAGGACACAGTTCAAACTCATAAATGCGACTGTATTTCAATAAGGAACTCTGATCAGGAACTCATCATGAATGTTCCTGCAAAACATATTTCATACTCATAGGGTCCATAATAGAATTGCTATAATGGACTCATTATGAATGTATCTGCAATACACATTTCAAACTCATAAATGCCACGTTAATTCAATAAGAAATTGCAATTAGGGACTGATTTCAAATGTATCTGCAGAACAGAGTTCATACTCATAGAGTTTGAAAGAAATTGCTATTAGAAACTCATCATAAATGTATATGGAAAACACATTCCATTCTCATGAATGCCACAGTGTTTCAATGAGAAATTGCCATCAGAATCTGATTATAAATGTATCTGTAAAACATAGTTCACACTCAAAGACTTCGTTGGAAATTGCTGTTAGAAACCTGTATTGAATGTACATGCAGAACACATTTCAAAATCATGAATTACGATGTTTTGATAAGGAATTGCCATTTAGAACCGATTATGAATGTATCTGAGAATTACAGTTCAAACTCATCGACTCCATTGAGTAATGCCATTAGGAACTGATTATAAATGTAACTGCAGAATACATTTCGAGCTTATGAATTACTGTTTCACTATCCAACTCGACTCTGACATATTCTCATATGTAAATAATTAGGAATTACTATTAGGAACTGATTATGAATATATCTGCGAAACACAGTTCATACTCATAAGAGAAAGGGAGAGAATCGCCAATAGAAACTGATTATATATGTATCTGCAAAATACATAGGATCATACGGAATTACTGTTTCACTATCCAACTTCATTCTCATATATTCTCATATATATTTTTTATAAGTTTCTATGAGACATTTTTGGCAGGGAATGCTCACAATAAATTCATCAGTCACTGGCCCCACCAGATCACAAAACATCTGTTTAGGTATTCTCTACCGTGATTATCTAATTCTATAAAAGTATATATGATGTGATGAGTCAATCGGCATTCGCACGCACATATTGCTTGTTGTATACTGATGTTAATCAACAAGTGTTCTTCAGAGTAATAGGTTGAGCATCTGCCTGGTGATCTAAAGGTCGTGGGATCGATCCCCGGTAGAAGCGTTTTTTGTTTTTTAATTTTTTTCATTCAAAATAAGGCTTTCTACCTAATCTAAATCTCTTTTTTGACTATCTGAGTGAAAAGAGGCTGATCTACGTTGATTCATGTATCCATGGTCCTGAATGGACGTACCTACTGAGGATGTACAAACGCGCGGAATCTGGACGTCCCCAGTACGTACCTACCTGAACGTCGACCGTACCAAATCTGGACGAAACGTCTTGGTCGGACGTTCTCAGTACGTTTTGGGGACGTACCCGTGCTATATGGGTATTTGATCCACATATCGAGAGTCTAACATAGAAAACAACTGAATGACGCTCTGACCAATGATATATCGTTGTCGCCCGGTAAAGATTAGCTGGCCCTTCGGTACCTTGTATTGATAAAATCTCAATTAATAAACTGTCTATGAAAGTTATACGAAAAATATAAAGTTATTGAAAATTCACATTTCTTTTTGTGTGACTTGGTTTGGCTGTACTCATGACCATATACAATATACATACTACAACAATCGTTACACATTATAGTATACCTATACTGAGATAAACTATATTCAGAGAAATAGATGAGTTATCAGTTTGATGTATACCAACTTTGTCAATCCTGATAATTTGATTTCCAGAAATTGGACAATATCTTTGAAAGATAAATGATATACAATTAATTGTATCCATTCACAACATCCGATATGTTTCAGGGACACATATTTTGGACTGCCGTTTTGGAAATTTTACGAAACATCGGCATACAAAAGCCTTGCAGAGAGTGAAAATAGCATTTACCAGTTGGCATTGGAACTAATTCAAGCTGCAGGAGATGGAACGCAAGAGAGTGTAATTTTCCAATCAGTAATCAATGCCAATATCGACACGAGAGAGAAAATTGCCGCCATAGTCGACTTCATAGCAGCAGGTATTGTTTCATTTGAAAGTGCACGTCATTGGATACTGGGAATGGGATATAAGTATATAAGGCGACTGTGAGATTAAGATCGTAGCGCCAGAACGGTGAATGTTGGTACTACTTTATGGGCCATTGGCGGATTGTTTAAATTGTTTGGTAATGGTGTTTATGTTCATTTCGTTTTGAGTTTTCAAACATTCAGCTTTTTTATTTGTGTATTTTCGAACTTAGTATTCTCTTGAGGTTTTTTGTGTTTCGATTGAGGACTATATTATATCTCTGTTCAACATTAGGTACCCTATACCTACCTCTAGTTCGAATTCATATATACCAACATACCTAAGCTGTGAGTTGTTATCATTATTGAACAAGAATAATCATGAAAACATGTGTAATATGTGGATTCCCAATTCGGATATTCCCCTGATAGCATGATATTTTTAGACAAAAATCCTGCATACCTTTCGGGAATGGCATGTTCTTTCGACGGTAAAGTTAAATATTTTTCACTTGATTTTTTATAACACAATCATCAACAACCTTTACCTACCGTGATACAAAAATTTAACGTAGAAAATGTATCATTTGTCAGATACATAGTAGGGATGGCTGATACCCAAATTTTTGTGCTGCCATGCACATAACAATTACTGTTATGTTTGGATTTTTTCATTTTCTCTCACCATTTTAACTAGAATGTTTTTTCTAGGTGATATTAACCGCTTGTATTTTCGTTCCAGAAGTGCTTTCTTTCATGAGAGATTTTTTCCAAGAGATATTTTTTTATGACTTTTTCTGGGTGATTTTTGTATAGAAGATACTTTTGTAGATTCAACATCATTTATCACTTGAATGACCATATTATGTGCCTTTCTATTAGATGCATGCGTTTGACGGTACATTTTTGATGTTTTATCATCGAGCGAAATTTTCGCGATAAGATGAAAATATCACATTTATATGAAACATAGCATGAAGCACAACGAAAATGAATTGTTTCGTTAGATATTGACATATAAAATTTGCCTGATGCGTAAGTAAATGAATGATCAGAAATTAAACCAAGCTTTTGATTTCGGCGAGATCAGGTATGATAGAAGCTTTATGGTGAGAGCGTACATTATTCTTTGAAGAATTGATTATTTCAGAAAGTTCACATACAATTCATTGTGTCTTCATATCTCTCACAACACCTCTGTTAATGTATCGTTTCAATTTCGCAAACAGCCTGTATAAGCACTGCAAAATATAGGTGTCATTTATCTTTCCTCTTCAGTATTTATTCACGCATAACCAGAAAACACCAACATATTCGTAAATCAAAAATATTTTCAGTTACAATAGTCCCAGACAGCACAGAATATTCTATGAATATTCTGACAACGTTCGAATATACTTATTTTAGAATATTCTAATATATACAGTGTGTTAACAAATAAGTGTCACAACGGAAAACTGTAGATTTCTCATAATAAAAGAAACATTTCTTTCCCCTTCAAAATTTTTCTCCGGGCTTCCGTTTTCAAGATACAGGGCGTCAAGAAATCAAAAATGTTCAGTTTAATTAAACACACTTCACAACACTTAATAAACTTAACTATTTGAAAACCAGCATCGAGACCAGCATACTCAAGAACCTGACATTTTTGATTAAACATCATTAGACAGTTCTGAGGTGTTTATTTCCAGTGGATTTTTAGACGATTTTTGGAGATCCCATCAGGATTTTGTATGTTCTTATTCATAAAGAGCCATATTTTTCTCGGAAACTGTTCACTTTAAAGCATTGAGACAAGAGACTGAGATAGTAGCAAAAAACAGATTTTTTTGTATTTTTTTGTCGCTCTGTATCTTGATAACGGAAGCCCGGGGAAAAATTTCGATAGGGAAAAAAATGTTTTTCTTTTACATGAGCAATATCTACAGTTTTCCTTTGTGACACTTATTTGTTAACACCCTGTATATAATGTTCTCAGAATGATCATTGAATATTCTCATTCTGCAAACAATATTCTATGAACATTCTATATTCGACATTTTCTCAGAATATTTTTTTAGAATATTCTGAGAACATCCTTTTCGACTATTCTGAGAATATTAAGAATCGTTTCAAAATATATAATGATAATGTTCTTATTCTTTTATGAACATTTATAATGGTTACCCTGACACAACCTATTATTCGCTAGCCTCAATGCTGATTATTTTATTTTATTTTATTCATCAGTAAGGTTCGTGGCGAAGTGGTAAGGTTTCAGGTTCGTATATTATTGCATATAACATACGCAAAAAACACAGGCTGATATAAGCATCAACCGATCTGTTTAGAGAACCTGATAATCTATAGTTGGGAATCTTCCCGGATTCTCGGATATACCCGAGACACCGGGGGGATCTAAACAGGACTATCTCCCAAGCAGGATAATGAAAAAGTGCCGCGGACGTGAGAAATCACAGCCAGCCACTGAACTCGGGCAGATGTGCTAAACAGAAATGTACAGTACAACTGCCCATGCAAAAACAAGAAGGAGGTTTTCACGGTTTTTTACCAATTTTATTTTTTTCCTCCAAAAACGCGAGACTCTCCCCACACTGATCGCGTCTGAACAGCTCCCCCACCGTCTTGGGTACCTTCAGTGAGATTACCTATATAAAGGGCCTAGCCCTAGGAGATAGGTATCTGTGACGAACTCCTCGCATATCTACTCACATTCCCTGGCCAACACCAGCCACCTCTGCGCCAAGCGGAGGGACGCCTAGGCACACCTGCAGATGTATAATAATAATAATAATGATAATAATAATAATAATAATAATGATAATAATAATAATAATAATAATAATAATAATAACAGGACGGACAGCCTGATAACGACCGCGATGAAAATGGACGCTTTGAGTGGACAGATGATCTGAGGGACGACCTTCTGCAGTGCTTCGAGAGCAGCGATCCAGGGCGTAGGGGATACATGAGGCGGATGCATGCTCTGTGGATTGAGCAACACCCAGAGCATGGAGCATTCACCGCTCAAAATCTGCGGGATTATGTATCTCACCTACGCGCTAGACAATACGTAAGAGTCCCTTCTCGGCAGGAAGATGGTGTGGAGGAACACGCTCCACCCATCCTGCTCGACGAGAGAGGGGACCGTGTGCTTCCTGAGGTGAGCGAAATCAGGAACCGCAGGAGCCTACTCAACATCAAAGCCCTGCGGACCCAAGACCTTGCAAGGATGGATGAATCGCGTCGAGAAACGCTTCCGGAAGGGGCTGACATCTGGCACATCAATTGTGCCGTGTATGACGTGGTTCGGTCCTCTCAGCCAGAGAGACCAATACAAACGGTCTCACCGATTGAGAGGGCCGATCGGCGGGTACAAAAGATGGAAGCCAAGATCCAGTCGGCGAGACAACACACTTCCCGTATCCAGTGTGTGATGGATTATGTGAGTGCCAACAGGCCATTCACATCGAAGGTGCGACGGATGGCCACTAAATTACGTCGCACCCATCACACACTAAATGAGGCAGTGCTATCCACCATCAAACAGCATTGCCTTGAAAGGATACGGATGTTAGTGGCTGCAAAACAGTCACTGAAGAGGCGAGCGAGAGGACTGGCGGAGAATAAACAATTCCGCGAGAAGCCCTCTCGCTTATTTCAACCGCCTCCAAGTGTGGTTGACAATCCGCCGACTGCTGATCAGGTGGAAACCTTCTGGAAGAGTATTTACGAGGTGAGGCATCCATTCAACAGAGATACTCCAGCCCTGGCGCAGTTCGGTACCTTTTGCGAAAGATACGGAGAGCCTGAGCCCGAATTACTGCGCCAACCGATAACCACTGAGGAGGTTCGAGAAGCCCTCAAAGGCTCCAAGAACTTCGCTGCTCCTGGTCCGACGGGATCAATAACTTCTGGTGGAAAAAGTTTTCCTGTACCCACCACCATTTAGCCAGGATATTTAATAGCTGGCTAAATGGGGAGCAGCAAATCCCTGAGTGGTTCATCGAGGGGCGAACCGTGCTCCTCCCCAAGACTGGAGATTTGTCCAATCCAAAGAATTACAGACCAATTACCTGCCTGAATGCATGTTACAAAATGTTCACACGCATCTTGTACATGCGAGTACTCCTAGTAGTTGATCCGGTTTACCAACGGATTTTTGAGCAGCGTGGGTCAAAGAGAGGTGTCGCTGGCTGCAAGGAGAACCTGTTGATAGATAGATCTATTACACAGGACTCTGTGCAGTACAAGCGGAATCTCTCTGTGGCCTGGATCGATTACCGAAAGGCATTTGACACAACGTCACATGAGTTACTCGTGTACTTGCTCAAGTGCCTTTCGGTACCCGATTCTATAGTGAGATGCATAAAACAACTGATGCTGGTCTGGAAGACCCGTTTTACTATAACATCAGGTAATGCGAGAGTCCAGACAGAGCCAGTCATCATAAGGAGAGGAGTATTCCAAGGGGACTCCCTCAGCCCTCTCCTATTCTGCATCTCACTTCTGCCACTATCCGTTGAGCTCAGGAAAACCAAAGGATACAACTGCGGCCCACCCAGTTACCGGAGGCATAAGGTCACCCACTTATTCTATGTGGATGACCTAAAACTTTATGCCTCTGGTGAAAGGGATATGGACCAATCCCTCAGGGTGGTGCAGGAGTACACTCAGGCAATTGGAATGGAATTCGGAATGGACAAATGTGCACTGGTTCATCTCAAGAGAGGACGATGCGAGAATTACGACAAGGACGCGCAGCTCGTGGACGGAAGCATCCTACACCACCTGGATGCCGGAGAGACGTACACTTACCTGGGTGTAGAGGAAACTCATATCCAGGAGGCACAACGGGTAAAAGACGCTCTCCGCAGCAAGTATCGGCAGCGGCTCCGACAGATCTGGTCGTCAGAACTGTCGGGCAAGAACAAAGTCGCTGCTACTAATATGCTTGCTGTTCCGATCCTACTTTACTCATTTGGAGTGATAAAGTGGACTCAAGTCG